AGATTCGTTAGCAAGAAGTGGAACAGTTTTCATAACCACTGGTATACAATTACCAGGACTGTTGGGTAAAGCAAACCATCATCCACAACACAGTGGACAATCGCTGAAATCGTAGATTACCTGATTATAGACTGAATGAGATGAGGATTGAATTTTCTATGGACTCTTACCGTTTTCTCTGGATTTCGGGACGACGTATTGGGCTCCATGCTGAGTCTTTCTTCAGGTCTTGATTTCTGAAAAGAGAATAAATTGTAAGACTGGAACGCGGCCCTCACAGATGTTCGTAGACGCAAGTGGACAATATATAGACGGTTAGAAACAGACTTTACAAGGCCGACCTGTATGCCAGACGCATATTCACAGCAAGGTACAGAACAACTCACATGAAATGGTACCAAGGTTGCATCCAGTGGAACAACCACATGTAAAGCAATATTATTTTTTTACTGATCAGTAACACCGTTTAACTACACTCAAATAACAGGCATATATACTCATTAGGGATTGGGGTGGGGTGGGTCTAGGACAAGATGAAACCATACCTTAATACCGGAGCGTGACCTTATGGCGGTAGTGACACCAGGAATAAACACTGGTGGATTAACCTGACTCGAAATCCTGCCAAATTGTACCATACATTATCCTGTCTACATTCTACTACCTTTTATGCTGCCAAGTGCTGGTAGAATTGGCACTGGTTTCGGCCTATTGAATGATAACTCTCGCCCCTCAGCGTGTTAAATTGGTTGACATGTTTCTTGGAGAAAATGGGATTGATCCAATAAAGTCCCATCAAGCATGCAGGGAATGCTTTTGGAAGACATGTCGCATCCTATCAAAACGGCTAAAGATGGTCTAGAAACAACTGTATTGGAGGACTGGTTGAAAATATTTCAGGACCTTGTAATACTCTCCTTTTTAAATAAGCAAGGACAATGGTGTCATATGTTCTTTACTGTTCACGGTAACCATACTCTTATTGAAGTGAGATATCATGAACTATAGTGAAGTAAAGCCACCACCATCAAAAGTTTATTTAGAAGCGTTGATTTAAAAGCCAATCATTTGCTATCCGATCATATGGTTTGTTTGTTTGTAATTAAGTACAAAGCTACACAATGGGCTATCTGTGCACTGCCCACCACGGGTATCGAAACCCAGTTTCTAGCGTTATAAGTCTGCAGACATATCACTCTGCCACTGGGGGACAAGATCATATTGCAGAACACCAGATGCCAGATTTACATAAAAATTAACTTCAGTATGTGTGAGGGGGGGAGGGGGTTAACTATTTCATAACAATGGTTTTTGCCTTATCATAGGTAGAATATTATAAATCTCAACCCCTCTTGAATTATTTATAATACGCAGGTGTTTTCAGCGATATTTGAATTAAATGTTGGATGATGATCAGTGAATACCACGACGATCATTAGTAGCTTTTTTGACTTTTGCATTATTTAACACTGCTGCAACAGCTCAAGAAGTTTTTAAGATATTGATTCAATCATAGGAAAACAATCCATCTATAGACAGGAATGCATCAAGATTTGAGATTTTTTACAATACAAAATATGTATTAAACTAGTTATTTTACGTAGTTTCTCAGAAATGCACCATTCATGTCTGACAAATCTTACTTTTATAGATCTTGAAGATGAGCAGACCATTCAATAAAAATACTGGAACTAAAAGAATTTATGAGGAAGTATTTGGACCACCCGCCAAAAAGAGGTTCTGTTAAAGTTAGTTAAGATGAGATGCTCCGACTACCAATCAGAAAGCGTTTCTATCAAGGGTATGTATAAAAAGTATGTTTTGCGTTACTAATTCAACAAAACGAATAGCTACTAGGGTCTGTTATTAAAGCTCAGATAAAAAGATCATAGCTATTGTTGTTTTCGTAATAGAAATATACAGATGAGGCTATCCGCACTCTGTCCACCGTCGGGAATCGAACCACGGATTATAGAGTTGTAATTTCGTAAATTTACCGCTGACCCAGAAAACAGTAACCGCTCCCAGCATGCGTGGAAAAGAAAGTATAGTTTTCTATACATTTTATGTTGTGTCAAAATAAACACACACGCTCAAAACCTTGATAGGACTATGCACATTTAATTAAACTTGTGTTAGTCCATCTTAATTAACATGCTTTACTCAAACAATCATTATTGTTGAAGTCTAATGTTCATCAAACTAAACTCACCTTTGTGGGTGAGTGTCCGTATTTGTACTTGGTATTTATGATAAAGCTAGTAACTACCGACTAGAGAGAGAGAGAGAGTACAGATAGTCATTAGCACCCTACCTCCTGCCACCCACACTAAGGAATTGACTGTCACTCTTATAATGCAACCATAGCTTAAAGTGCATGGCCAAACCGCGCTGAGGATGAGTGTCGTGAACTTCTGACGAATTATAGCATGCCGCGTCATCATGTCAATAATGTTAGCTGAATAGCGTGTAGTTAGCTGATCATGTTTTAAATCGATCTTTTACAGGTCAGAAGTATAAGATCAAGTAACATTAGCTAAATATCTAAATTGTGTTATTTTATGAAAATGTCAATGAAATTTGTATCTAATGTACGTCATAAGCACTTTTGACTTATTTTACACAATGCTTTGTTTGTTTGTAATTAAGCACAAAGCTACACAATGGGCTATCTGTGCTCTGCCCACCACGGGTAGCGAAACCCAGATTCTAGTGCTGTAAGTCCGCAGACATACCACCATGCCACTGGGGGGCGGTTACACAAAGCAAATATGTATATAACATATATATATATATATGTGTGTGTGTGTGTATATATATAACTGTCTTCTAAAATCTTATGACAATATCTTTCAGTTGTCGATTTCAAAATACACTTTATTAAATAGAGCAATTATTCCGAGAGATTGCATGGTACTTGGAAAACACGTAAGATTAATATAAAAAAAATATCACGATGCAACAAATCTGATAACCTGAGCTCTTTCTGACGGTGGAACTAATAACGCGTCGCCGAGTTTCTAAGACTAATCAGAGTATTTGCATTTTACAAGCACCTATAAGCATTTAGAAGTTTTTAAGGTACTGAAAATACAGAACGGTTAAGATCCGCTGATTACATTTTCTTCCACAAACAACTATATCAGTCATTTTTTGTATTTTCTGATTCTGTAGCTGTCTTTACTTGTTAATTGTATAGCGTTACGAATTCAATAACTGTTACCATTTTGTTTTGACGTTTAGACCTAGAGTACATATTAAGTGGGGCGCGTGCAGTCCGCTAGGGTAGATCTATAGATTAACAACAGGCTTTATTAACTAGAAGGACTATTGTTTTATTTTTTATACCATCTCCCTGTGTGGTGTATCTTAACTTTTGACCTTACGTTTTCTGTCACGTGATCTAGCGCCAGCTGCCGCCAAGCCCTCTGCAGGCGGTCGACAGTCGCCACACGAGGGTCAGCAAATCTCGTACAAGTCGAGGAAGGGCTCTTTCGCGTGCATGTCTCGTGCCTATGAGGACCGGGAGGGTTTCGTCTCACCTGTCCCCCTGAAGGCACACATTCCTCCGGGTGCTGATGGCGACTTGACGGCCAGCTGCACAAGAAATCCCGGGGTGTTACATAGGTTTTGAAAAACTGCTTATCGATACGCGCACGACTAGATACAGATAGCACACATATATGCAAGCCGTTTGTAAATTTATTTTAAGAAAATATATGGTCTAGACGAGAGTTAAAAGCAGAGCTTTTATCACATGACTCTGTGATTTGTTAGCACGATGGGAAGATAACGTTTTTGTTACTTGTAGAGTGGTTAAAACTCCGCTCTTCCATCCGTCGTTTTTCTGACTTACAAAACATTTATCGGTATGTCAGTGTGAGTATTAGGCATCGAATAATGAAAAACTAAATCACTTTCTAGGAAAGTTATGTATATGTTAAGAAATAAAACGAACTTAGTTAAAATTTACAGATATTTTGTTCGTTGGTGACCTTTAATCTGCTGGTTAAACCCTTAAAAAAAAAGAGCCTTAATTGTACTTATTTAAAGTGCTCGCGAATAACCGTTGGATAATGGAGAACAAATCATTGTGTTCCACTAGTTTAAGAACTATTGAATTGTATATAGAGCTTCAGGAAAACATAATTAAACTAGCGAATACACTTCTTTAAAAAAAACCCTATAACTTTTGCGATTACAAATATTAAAATAAAGGACACAAATGTTAATACAATTACAAATAACCCGATGTAATACACTAACAAAGTACAATATACTGTTCAATATTTAATTGATTTCAAGGAAAACTATAACGATTATTTGACAAGTTAGAAGGACGTTAATGATATTGAAACAGATAAAAAAAAAGATTTTATTGTCAATATTTTGTTCACTAATATAAACGTTTCGTGCAAACCAGTATCATTTGAATTTGTTGTATATATTTTTTAAAATGATCCAATAGAAGATATTTTTCCTGATGAACTTCAAAAGCGAAACGCTGTTGATCAGCTACGTTTCGAAGTTAAGGATAATGGCCGCTTCATTGTTACGTAACTTTCTGATTTTTACATGTGATTTACTTTCTTGCCTTTAGTTGGACATTGCATTATTTGCCTATTGAAATTCGCTGTTCTGTTTCTGTAGCGACCTGAAGGCTCTACCGATGCGTGGCGCTTTTGACATTATTATCTCATTACGCCATTGATTGTAAGTGCGGTGTAAAAGGCACGTGCACTGCACGAGGTAACAATCTCGGTTCGCCACCGCCGTCAACGAATTAATGATGCACGTAATGTATCAGGCCTGTGATTGGTCAAGCGTGACATGCTCCGCACGTGCCGCGCGCGACGGCACGCCCGCTGTGCAGAGATTGACTATTAGAATAAGCCACGAAAATGATAAAGAGGTGGACAGGTAAACAGGACTACGGCGCCTGCATAAAATGTCAGGCCCCACCAGGTGCTAGAGTAGAAATTGTTCTTGTTCAGTTGGGCGTCTTGCCGAGATCTTACTAGGTTCACGTGCATCGCTTTTTGAACATACTCTGAAGAACTTTTGCTGTTAGCACCAACAGAGCATAAACGAGGCGCGACCATGATATGCCATTGTATAAAAAATAACTCACAGAAAAGATAAAATAGAAAACAAAAATCATACAAACTTTGTTTATTATTTACTTACAAAAGCCACGTTTCCTAAGACTGCCGATTAGTTTCGTAGTTTCCATCAGACCAAGGCCATGGAACAAGGAATCATCCCTATTTGCGACTTACCTGCCTGTCAGTATAGTTCGGCACTGCTGCCCAACTCACCGCCGCAAGTTTGGGACTTTCCTCTTAGAATGGACCGGTTTAGTGGTGTTCAGAATACATCCTTACCGTCTCAGCTAGGCAAATGCCGGTCCCCTCGTCAGACTGTATCGTCGAGCTCCAAACAACAGCAGAATTCTAAAAAGAAAACTTGCAGAAAGAATGGGAGTAAGTCTGCCTACAAACACATCCCTCACCGAGAGAAGCCACCGCACTTAGTGGCCAAGAGGAATGCAAGGGAACGGCGGCGTGTTGAGGCTGTGAATAACGCTTTTGCTCGTCTCCGTAAGTGCGTACCTGTAGAGAATAAGAATAAGAGACTGTCAAAAGTAAAGACGTTACATCGCGCTATTGAATACATTGCGGCACTCCAAGAGATGCTAGAAGAGGCGGAAACTGTCCAGTCTTCTTCGCTAGACCCTCTTCAGAGTTTAGATGACCTACTGGACGCTGCGGAAGTGGAGGCTGTGAACAAAGAAAATGATGCCAGTCAGCGTTGGATCACGTTAGAAAATGTAGGTTGAAATAATTATGTGATATAGAAAAGCATGTTGTCACGATAAGTTTCTTAATGTTTAGTTTTATTTGATTTTAGTCCTCTTTATGATCTATACGATCATCTCTTACGCGGTCACAGATCCAAAACTGTTTAGTTTTATTCATATTCCCCTTTTTTTTAAACATAATGTCTTATTTAAATTTGTATGAATTAAATGTATGTTTTTTTTTAAGTATCGCCCTAATATGTCGCTGATGTGGCTTTGACTTGTGGCGTAGTTTAATGTTTCTGTAGCCGCTATACTCTATCATAATCTCTCCTGCACCTGTCTGCACAATATAAAATCTATTATTAGTTAACATTATTCATTCATGCCGCTAATTTACAGGCTGATGGGTTGAGTTTAACACTGTGTTATCGAGCTTTTCAAAAGCATTGACTCGTGGAACGGTACACAGGTGCACCGTATTCGCCAGCGGTGCGAATCGGCGCGTGTGTGGCTTGTGGCTACAGGACACTGGACAGTTGAACAGTGCTGCCATCGAAACGAATTTGCTATGTTACCATCTGTGTCTTTATGTTGTTTAACTTTCAGTTTGCATTTGTTATTGTTAACAGTGTGTATTGAACTATTTATCTATCGTTTCGCACTTCATATTAAAGTTTGAATGAGCTACTATTTAATCTTGACTATATTTTTAATCTGTGCCTTACCTGCGTTACAATAGCTTTTAAGTCTTCGTTGCATTATTAAATATATTATTATTTACATGTTTTTAGACGAAAACCATTCCATTTTAGGAGTTCTTAAACTGCGGTCTTTGAAATCTTATTGACACGTACGTGAAAGAAAAATATGGCAATAACCGTTCTGTGGTTTACAACAACCCAACTTTTTACAGTTTCTCTGGCATGATTCTTCATGTACATCTGATGTTTTTATTTTTAAATTGTTAATTCGTACCAGTTTCTCTAGATGTTTTCTGTGATGAAAAAATCACAACAGTGAAATGTAACTTTATTCTAAAATGTCGGTTTTTGAATCATATAACACTGTGTTTCTCACCGGTTTTTGAATCATATAACACCGTGTTTCTCAGATGATCAAGGCGATCTCTCACCCAGTAATCACCGTTTACCTCTTAGTGTCTTACGTCACTCATAAGGCGTGCACTTCACAATTAATGTGTAGTTGTTCTAATGCGTACTACGTGTCAATATTGCCAGTATCGTATTAAGCAAACTATGTATAGCTTACAGAACGTTGTTTATAGCTAGAGAAAGAGGATGAATTTAGTTCGAAACTCTTTTGAACTGGATCTGTCAATTTCGCCTGAGATTTAGACTAGTTTTGTTTATCTCCAAACAATCTACTGACTCGTGACCTAATTTATATACCTATCTTTGTTTCTAGGTAATGTAAACATGTAAGATAAATTTTAACAACGAAGAGAATGCGTAATTATACAGAGCATGCTCGTTACTGTTGTTACTCTAATTGCAATCAAACTACATTTATTATTCAAAACCATAGTATCGTTCTGTGTGATATTTAAAACTGAAATAGACACTGACAGTAGATTTTTGCTCTGTTACAGACGTACGTGCCTGATAGCTACAACCCTTACTTGACGTTCTATGAAGATTATGGTACAGCATTCCACAGTTAGCATACCAACCACAGGGCGACAGTGGAAGTGATGTTTTACCTGGCCAATCACTAGCCTCAAATGATGCGGGTTGCTTCGCTAATCACTTAATTTTATGTCTCAAATGACTTTTGCAAATCCTCAAGAACCATGTTTGAAGAAGAACAACCCTGTAGTTCTCGCTCTGATAATCGTCTGTGTGTGATGAGAGCCACCAGACTAAGCCTGTACATCAGCTTTCTTTGCCTAACGTCACCGTTAAAAGGAGAAGAACAGTTTACAATGTCAAGTGTTTATCCCTTGGAATCATGAATAAAGAGAAACCTCGGTGCTCCAGATGGTGTTAAGATGTTTTACTTGCTCCATTTATTAAGCATTACTTACGTTTCGCGATCTGGTCAACTTATACAAATTTAATTTTCAATTCATGTTTCTTTTTCTTTGTATTTAAATAGTGTGATAACAATGTTTATATATTTTCAATATGTGTTGTCATGTAGAGAAACTATTATAAGATGTTTATAAGATATTGTATATGTGACCAAATCGTATTCTAGCGGAGGAGCAGGAAAATGAAGAAGACCTGACCTCAAATTAAATACAAATATTTTTTCTTAAAAAAGTCAAGGATTTTTTCCCTACATTTTGTTTACACTATTTCTTTCTCAACTATCTTTCAAATATGTTTACACGATAATCCTCACAAAGCTTTACTCGATTCCAGAGGGTTACTTATAGTAAAACGGTTGGACTTTTAAGTACAAAGGAAAATAGCGACCTCTGGTATAAAACAAAGCAAAGAAATGAGACATATTTAACGTTTTAATATTTAACGCCAATTTTATTTTTGCAGTCTCATAATCATTTTGTTTCCCGGTGGGACAGCGGTATGTCTACGGACTAACAACGCTTAAATCCGGGGTTTGATTCCCCCGGGGGACACAGCAGGTAGCCCAATGCAGCTTTGCTCTAAAATAAATAAATAAACAAATAAAATAACCATATTTCATTCTGATTGGTTCATGGTTGCTCTCAGTGCAATCAAATAGTTGTCATCTTTAATATTTCAGTATTGAAAAACAACTTTTATCAAACGATTATTTATTAATTCTTAAAGACAAAAATATCGTGACAAAAGCAAATTGTGCCTAAATTAATACTGAACGATTCTAAGACGGATGTGGTTCTTTTTGAAGAACTTAGAACTGTCATTTTCAGCCTAATCGGAACTGATTCAACAGCTTTGGATATAACTGAGCGAAACAGCGATAAATTTAAACTCGGCCCTCCACTTCTACAGAATCTTTCTAGAGTATATCCGCTAGGCGCTAATATATATATTTTTTCAAACTATTTTTATGTATATTCTTAATGATGTATTCGTTGGTTTCTACAGAAATCACTTAAGTGGAATTGATTTAGTTCCAGATTATCCTTTACTTCAACAAGGCAAAGCCTCGAATTTAATTTTTATTTTTGAGTTAGTTGTCATCATTTCATAAACCTGGAAGCTCTTCCAGGAAAATGTAATAGTAGTACAAGCAGTAGTTCACTTTTAACTTTGGAACAGCTTTTGGTATCTGAGTTTTATTACCGTGAAGATCCTAACGCATCTTCAGAATTATATATTTTGGAACAAAATGCTAATGAATAATTTTTCAATCATTACATTAAAACAAGGGTCATTTTTATAATGAATCGTTTTGTTTCTTAGCGGATACATTTTGTAGCAAAATTATTTCGCTCAAAAGTAATAAAGGACGTTAACTGTGTGTACAGAAAATGTAGTAAGAAAGTTTTTTTTTGGTTATGTAAAAACACATTTTAAAATAGACATTACTGTAGCCTTCTGAAAAACGTAGTGATTATTTTCGTCCATATTATATAACATCAGTATAACAATTATATATATATATACACACACACACACCATATTATTGGTGCAGCACATTTTAAGACGAAATGAATCATATTTAGCTGCAAGGACTTAAGTTTAATAGAGAAAGTAGGCTTAGTTTAGGTTTTAATCAAAATTGACTTTATTGCTAACCTTTGTCACGACATCTGGTGCATAATTCATAGAAAAGACGACCACCTCTTTTACAAAGTAGCCTCGAGTGTAGAGAAATTGCAAGGAATGTCTATTCTTTTCCTTAGGTGAAGCTACGAGGCTAGTCAGATTAGGGATTTTGCTTATATTGCTGACAAACTACGTGGTATGGCATGATACATTATATATATGTGTGTGTGTGTCATATTGAGATATAGTTTTCCTTATATAATTTTATATAAGAATCAAAGCAGTCACATTCATGACTTCTTTCGTTATTAACAATAGACTAAGTCCAAACTAATTAAAACATACCGACAATTCTTCGTTATTGGAACAACTGTCATGTAACGTCCAAAGCGTTAACCAGGTTTCTATCTACCGAAACGAATAATTAATAGCAAAACTGTTGTTTTAACCTGAAGGTGTTCCATCTGAAGGCATTCCATTTTTATATTTGTTTCTACCTGAAAGTGTTCCATCTGAAGGTATTCCATTTTTATATTTGTTTCTAACTGAAAGTGTTCCATCTGAAGGCATTCCATTTTTATTTTTGTTTCTAACTGAAAGTGTTCCATCTGAAGGCATTCCATTTTTATTTTTGTTTCTACCTGAAGGTATTCCATTTTTAATTTTGTTTCTACCTGAAGGTATTCCATTTTTATTTTCTCAAGTTTCTACTCTCAAGGAACAAAGGAAGATAGATACCTCGAACCTACAGCTATATTGAGTGGTTTATGTGCTGCACTTCCCACACCCTTAAAATTCAGCAAAATTAAATACCCTCTGTATAGTGGTTAAGCTGGCTTCTAGTCTTGAGCTTTCGTTAGCATCTTTTATGATGGATTTAATGCCACATGTGCAGTTTTATTCCATAAAACGTTTTCAATTTTACACAAAACAAAGTGTAGGTTTGTGCTTAATTCCAAACAGTAAACAATGACTCCTTCTTTCTTTTGTTATTAAATAACTAAGGACCTAATAGATGCTACTTGCATATCCTGCTTTGTGGAAGGTAATAATTGACTCCTTTTATTGACTAAGAATTCGTGTCTTTAAATTAAGGCCCGAAAGTATATAAAAAAGTGGAAGTGTGTTTTTATCCTCCTTCTCTAGCAAAAATCCTAAAACAAAATAGCCCATGTTCGCAGTCGGACAGTTTCCAGTCTACTCTGGGTGGTGGAAGCCAAAAGTCTATAGAAAAGTGAAATGCGTCGTATTTAAGGGCCGCTCTTATCCCTCTTTTCTGACAAAAATCCTAAAAGAAAGATAGCTATTGTACATCGTCGGACAACTTTCACTACTCATATAACAATATACGGTAATCGAGACAGCCAGCTCTGGGTAAGTCAAAAAATATAAAAAAAGTGAAAAGTTGCCCTATTTCAGGTGCTTTTAATAACTTTTTTTAGGGGCAACATTTCTAAAACAAAATAGCCAATATACACCGATGGACGGTTTTCAGTAAGCAAACCAAAAATTATAGTAGTTGATCTAGCCAATTGTGGGCGATGGATGATAACACATACACATAATAGAACATTTTTATTATAAGACACTCAGCAATTCGATCTAGGCTTCACATACACTTTATATGGGAACAGACCCATTATTAGCTGAAGATGTATTGTCCCATTACTTTTAAAAAATATACTGTAGGTGTGTACCTATCTGTAAACATGCAGGTAAATGCAAATGTATATACATGTGTGTGAGTCATCTGATAGATAGGAAAACTCATAGGTTGTAGAAAAACAAATCTCACCAATAACTTGTAAAATACAAAGGAAACCAATTCACAGCTTTGGTTACGTGTTAGTTTTCTTAGCAAACATATAGAACATGTAGTGCAAAGAAAACATCATCTACCGATTTTTGGGTCTCGTTTATATACTTCTAAAGCCCCACCAACATGTTCAACATTATAATAAATGCTTACATTTTAGTATTGCACATAAATATGGTTGAAAAATGTTAATCATTTCCAAAATGTACGCGTTTTAAAATAGAAATATTAACTAAGATGTGCCTAGTCAGATTATAAGTTAATATTACCTTCAGAAATCAGGCACATAATTTACATAAATTTAGAACTGGTTAATCTGTTAATTCAGAAACTGTCATCCAGCAGGATAACTCATTAAGATAGCTTTATTGTATAAAAACGCCCATCGTGATTATACAATTCCAAGAAAACATGTTACTGCCGTGATGTCTATAGAAGAGGTACCAAATGTTTGGATTAAAGCGTTCTTTGTTCCCCTCATGTACTGAAACCTGCGTGTATTGTTTATCGTCGTTATTCTTCTCTATTGTAAGTTAAAAGCTAATCGATAACCCTAATTTAAAGGGTGTGGCAAAGTGCTAGCTCTTAAATTTCCTACCAGGATTACTCCAGCTTACCACTATGTCTGTCTCTTTGGACGATATTACAGCCTTTTTTGGTAACGCCCTCTCTCCATTTCCACTACGAAGGGTTTTACACTGGAATCAGATCACAAGAACAAAGAGTTAATGCGTCTAGAAGTGGTTTCTGTTGAACCAGCAACTTTGAAATCCCCATTTTGTTTTATTTGTGCCGTACACTTCAGAGTTTGTTTCATAAGAATGAGGTTACGTTTATTGAAATCCCCATTTTGTTTTATTTGTGCCGTACATTTCAGAGTTTGTTTCAAAAGAATGAGGTTACGTTTATTGAAATCCCCATTTTGTTTTATCTGTGCCGTACATTTCAGAGTTTGTTTCATAAGAATGAGGTTACGTTTATTGAAATACCCATTTTGTTTTATTTTTGCCGTACATTTCAAAGTTTGTTTCATAAGAACGATTGTTTTTAATTAAGCACAAAGCTACACAATGGGCTATCTGTGTTCTGCCCGTCATGGGTATCGAAACCCGAATTCTAGCATTATAAGTCCGCAGACATACCGCTGTGCCACTGGAGGGCTCATTAACGTATATTGAAATCCCTATTTTGTTTTATTTGTGGCGTACATTCCAGAGTTTGTTTTATAAGAAAGAGGTTACGTTTACGTTTTCTTAATAACATAATTACTAAACCTACTTAGGATTTTATCTTTCAACCAATTGTAAGAACAAGAAAAATATTTAAAGTCATAATGAGGAATTGGCACCAAAAATTAACTCGCAAGGATCATCTTTGAAATAAAATTCTTAATGTTATAGTACCTTGTGAGTTTCCATGCAGAAAATCAAGTGAAAAAAAAAAATATCCCACCTTGCAATTTTCGGATCTACCTTGTAAAATGTTAACTAATAATAACAATTCAACGTTCTCGCCTGTCGTGAATCACTATGGTTACTGAGCTGCATATTTCTTTATCCCAGGCTGTTTTCTAAACGTTAATTCCA